CAGCAGGATCCTCCTGTGCGGCTGTGAGAAAGGCAAACTGTTCTCGCGTCATGCACAAACACAAACACACTGCTTTGCCAGGTCTCTCCTCCGACCAGCTGTAAGCAAGGAAGGCTTAGCCTAGATATGCCCATTATGTTTATTTTTGGACTAGAGTTAAGACACGGGTGCCCCCATGGGCACAGACTTAAAGGTGGCTAGCATAAGAATATAAATAGACAGCTGAAATTAAAAGCAAACTGATGCTGAAACAAAGAAACAGGTAACACATCAGTAGAATTAAATGGAAGAGTTGTTTGGGGGGGGGGTTTAATGGTGGTGGAAAGTGCTATCTAGTTGCAGACAATTTATGGCAACCCCGTAGGGTTTTCAAGGCAAGAGAGGCGGTTTGCCCATTGCCTGCCTCTGCATCACGACCCTGGATTTCCTTAGTGGAGTCCCATCCAAGTACTAACCAGGGCCGACTCTGCTTAGCTTCTGAGATCTGATGAGATCAGGCTAGCCTGGCCAAGAGCCCATGTAAACAGAACTTGCCATCTGGCACTAAAAAGAGCCTGGAGGGAGAATGTTCCATTATCTTGGTGCCAACACGGAAAAGGTCCTGTTTCTGGGAGCCTCCCACTCAATCCCTGAAGGTGGGTGCCCCCAGAACAGGGCTTCTGATGAGGCCCTTGGCAGGCAGGCAGACTCAATACCCGAGTTCTAAGCCGTCGTCCTAAGCTGACAAGAATAAACTTGATTCATTTGAAATGAGGTATTGGAGGAGAGTTTTATGGATACCATGGCCTACCAAAAAAGACAAATAAGTGGGTTCTACATCTAATCAAGCCTGAACTCTCCCTAGAAGCTAAAATGACAAAGCTAAAGTTATTATACTTTAGTTGTATTAAAAGAAGTCAAGAGTCACCGGAAAAGACAATAATGCTAGGAAAAGCTGAAGGCAGCAGGCAAAGAGGAAGACCTAACTGTTGGAGTGAGGCGACTCAACATGCCTGGACACTGGGGAGGGTATAGGTGTTATCTCCTTGAATGGGAAGCTTCTCTTTATCTTGACCTGGGAGCTGCCTTCTGACCCCTCCTCTCTTTCTCTCTCTGTCCTCTCACTCTCTGCACATGGCCTTCCATGGAGACAAATGTCTCTGCAGGTGTCTTCTATAGAGACAATGCCCTCATTCTCCCACACGCATGATGCCAGACAGCTGGCCATTTGTGATAGGGAAAGGACTCTTTAGATTAGGTTTCTCTCTCTTCTTTTGACTGCAACCTGAATGTGAACTGGATCTACTTCAATAAATGTAAGTTTGCCCCTTTTTTTTTTTGCTATATACTTCTTGGGAGATTTATTTACTATGCTCAGTATTGCGTTTCTGTAACTGGACAAAACTCTGCTATATTAACCAGATATCCTAGTACTAACGTGAGATGGATGGACTCAATCAAGAAAGTCACGACCCTCTGTTTGCAAGACCCGAGCAAGGCTGTTAATGATAGGATGTTTAGGAGGACATTCACTGATAGGACATTTAGGAGGACGTTCATTTATAGGGTGGCCTTAAGGCAGAAGCCACTTGACAGCACTTCACACACACAAGCCATTGTAGGGCTTGAAAGGTCATTTCCGAGCAAGGGCCTCATGCAAACTGAAAATCAGCATAGATCTTTATGCACAGGAATGATATGTTCAATACAGCAAGCCCCAATTAACAACTTGGCCGACAAGTTCTGAACCAGCTGACATTTCTGGACCCAACTGTAATCCTGTGGGTGCACATAATGCCTAGAGGGAGCTCTCTGCGGCATGTGCTAAGTCTGTATTACAAAACTCACATGGCAAACATTGCAAATTATGTTTTTAAGCACAAAAAGCACAATGTCAAACAGTACAAGAAACCTCTCTCTCTCTCTGCAAAATGAATAGTGCTGTATAGTGTATGAAACAGCCCTCTGACCCTTAAATTAAGAAAAAGTAACAGATTGTCCATGTGACTTTAATATCCCATCCATAAATTGTAAACTATGTTGCCTGTGAAAGCACGATGCGCCTTCTCCAGTCTCCTAGCTCATCCTGAATCTCCAAGATGGGGGAATAGTCTATTGTTCTGAATCCATTTTCTTTGGTTAAAGCATTCAGATTAATAACAGCACTGTCTCTGTTTCTTGCGAAACTGGAAAAGTAAGGGGATTGCAAAGGGCTGGTGCAAAGGCAGCTGTAAAAGGATCAGTGCACCAACTTCTGAAGGCAAGCAATCTTTTTCTACACACACACAATACCCAGACTAACCGCCACGACTGTATCTTTGACAGATCAGAGACTGAAAAGTCAGAGAAGACATATTTAGGAATCATGAAGAGATTATAAAAATATACCCTGAAGGAGGAGAGATAACCGACGTCAAATACTTTGAACCCTACCAAGTTCCACAGAAATGCTTATTATTTGGTTATTGACTGAATGGTGAAGAACCTCTAAGAGGGGCTGGATTTGGAGACAGGTGGAACCTGCCTGCTCGAACCAAAAACAGAAGGGGTCCAATGTCCTCTGAAAGCCAAGCCCACCTAATCTATATTGGACTTTGGGGAATAAATGCTCCTCCTTGGCATCGCCATTTCTGCCCTACTTGGCCGTAATGCTTCCTACTCATTATTCCTTCCCTCTCTTTGTAGAAGAAGGTTGGGGGTGTATTCTCCTGTGCAAGTGTCCTTTGGGATCCATGTCCCATCTCTCCAAGTCTTTGGCAGGTTGTGGGAACCCAACTGCGTGGCAGGATATGTTGCCTGCTCCTCTGTGGAATACTCGGTTGGACACGTGAAGCCGCCTGAGATGGAATCAGACTCTAGAGTCCAGGGAAGCCAGCCTTGCCAACTCAAACCAGCAGTGGCTCTCCGGGAACTCAGGCAGAGGTCTTTCCCATCAGCTGGGACCTGAGCGCCCTGACGGGGAGAGCCCAGGCGAGCCCAATCTCGTCAGATCTCAGAAGCAGTGTTCCCTCTAAGCTGAGTTAGTGTGAGCTAGCTCACAGTTTCTTAGCCTCTGGCTCTCACATTTTTGTCTTGGCTCAGGGTGGAGGGCTCCAAAGCAAACTGATTTATGCAGCAGCCAAATGGCTCGCTCACAACTTTAACGCCGGCAGCTCACCAAGTAGAATTTTTGCTCACAAGGCTCCACAGCTTAGAGGGAACATTGAGAAGCTAATCAGGGTCAGGCCTTGGCTAGGAGTTGAATGGACCTCCAAGGAAGACCAGGGTCGTGACGCCGAGGCAGGCAACGGCCAACCACCTCTGGGACGTCTCTTGCCTTGGAAACCCTCCCGGGTCGCCAGAAGTCAGCTGTGACTTGACGGCACTTTCCCATCCCCAGGACCTGAGCCATAACTGGAGGTCGCAGCAGGGACTGAGCCCTCACGCCCAGCAAATGCACTGCGCCGCCGAGCCACGGCCCCTCCCCTGCTTTCAGGCAACATCGGTTGTGTGATCTGGATTTGGGGGGGGGGGGAGACCGAATTGCTTGAGCAGCACAAGGTCGAGGAAAACACCGCCTCTGAATAGCAAGGGCCGCGCTCCAAACGCGCGCTGCCAAAAAAACAATTGCAAAAAACTAGTTGTTGTTTTCTTCTTCCCCGTTTTAAAAAAACCGAAACAGTTTCAAGTTGGTGCCAGGCGCCGGAGGGAGAAGGGATGCTACCGCTCGCCGCGCCCGCCCGATTCCCCAGCGAGCCCTCCTCCCTCTCTCCCTCTCCCGGCCCTTACCTGCCCTCGCCCGGGGAAGTCCGCGCAGCAGGAGGGCCAGGAGGCAGATCAGGGGGCTCCGGAGTCCCCGGGGCTCCGCCGGCCTCGCCATCCTCGGCGCCGGGCTCCGCAGGGCGCTCTCCGGGGGGGATTCCCTCGGCCGCTCGCAAACTCCTCGCAGCGCTGAGCCCAGAGAGAGAGAGAGAAAGAGAGAGAGAGAGAGCGCCTCCTGGCCCCGCCCTGCTCCCTCCCCAGTCGCAAAGCGAGCCCCGGGCTGGGCTGGGCTGGGCTGGGTTGGGCTGGGTGGGGGGGGGCGCCGAAGGGGGCTTCCCCTGCACCCCAGCTCGCGAGGAGGGAGGGCAACCCAGCCTTTCCCACGACCTCCCCCTCCACACCCCCTGGGCACGCGCGCCAACACGCCTCCGCGCCCCTTCGGACGACACACCCCAAAGTGGAGGCGCGAAGGAAGCGGGCGGACCGAGTCCCTCGCAAAGCAAACGCGCCCGGGAGGGAGCGCGAGCCCGGTTGATCCGAAGGATCGTACGTCCGAGGAAGCCTGCAGAGGACCCGCGCCCCGATCCTCGGCCGGCTTCCTCGGAAGTCCTGTTCGGTGCCGCCGGGCTGGCTCCCAAGTTGAGCGTTGCGGGGATCGAAGCGGACGGCGGGTTCTAGAGTCCAATGCCTCCTCTAAGCTGTGGAGTCTTGTGAGCAAAAACTCTACTTTGTGAGCGGCTGGCATTGAAGTTGTGAGCGAGCGATTTGGCCACTGCATCAATTCGTTTGCTCTGGAGCCCTCCTTCCTGAGCTAAGACAAAAAACGCGTGCGCTGGAGGCTAAAAAACTGGGAGCTGGCTCACACTGACTCAGCTTAGAGGGAGCACTGCTCTAGACACCCGCGATGACACTGTAATCAATCGTCGGTTGAAACGGACACGAAAAACTCTCTTTTCGCGCCGGCTGGTGGTCTCTAGACGCCGGCCCCGGATACTGTCATAAATCTCCCCGTTGAAACTGACACGAAACGCTCGGTTTTCCGTGTCGGACTTTGGGCAGATTAACGCGGCCCTCCCTCCGGGGTCGGTTTCCTGGCGAGGAAATCCTATTGATCTTGGTGGAAACGGCTTCCAAAGAAGAGAGAGACGCCGAGCGCATTCCCTGTACATAAATATAATCTCTCCTCACCCCAAGCCTCCCCCAGCCTCATTCATGTATACAAAGGGACTCCATCCAACAGGCACGATGCAGAGCCGCACGCTTCCCTGCTTTTTCTCTCCATATGTGCACACCCAAGCACTTAATTTCTGAACGGACCCCTGCCAGAGCTCAAGAATGTCTGGAAACCGCAATCGCAGAAGCCCCCTAGCCAAGGTTTGCTTGGAAGGCGGACAGCTTGTTGAGGCTGAGCAGGTCTCTGGACCAGTGTTTCCTCTAAGCCAAGTTAGTGTGAGCTAGGTCACAGTTTTCTAGCCTCCAGCTCACACATTTTTGTCTTCGCTCAGGAAGGAGGGCTCCAGGGCAAACTAATTGATGCAGTAGCCAAATCGCTGGCTCACAACTTTAATGGCAGGAGCTCACAGAGTAGAATTTCTGCTCACAAGACTCCCTGGTTTAGAGGGAGCATTGCTCTGGATTATGCCTGGATAGAAGACCCTATGAGAACACTGTGCAAGGGGCAAAGCAAGAGAGGTGGTGCATAAATGTGCCATGTGGACTGCATGGTCGTGCATATGCGGGGGCTGGCGTGCACTTTGGGAGACAAGTTCTCTGTGCATGCTCAAAGGCACTTCCTTATTGTTGGGTATTTGCATGTTGAAAACACTCAATGTGTGTGTATGGGGTTAAATGTCTGTTCTGTTGTCACAGGAAATCACCTGCCTTTGTGTTAGCCAATGTTAGCTTAGATCTGCTAGCCCACGAAAAAGCATCCCTGTTCTGAGAGTTTGATTGGGAGCAAAGTGTTAGTGTCTTTGCATTTTATGGCCCCTCTTCCCCTCTTTGTTCTGTTTGGTGAAGAAGCATGTTAGAGAGTGGCCATTACGTCTTCTAGTCTTGTACTTAGAGTGAGAGGATGTAGCTTATATAGCTCTGTTGTTATTTTCTCCCAGTTACCCTCCCCTATGGTAGAATTGTAGTAAACTTTTATATTTTTAAACACACATGGACTCTGGGTCTGATTATTGAACTCTGGCATCGCTAAGCTGTTTTATTCTCTGCTGAATCTTATAAAAACTCCAACACTTATTGAGGTCATCAGTACCCCACTTTTCTCCCCAAATGGGGACCCAAAGTGGCTTACAATGGTCTCCCCTTCTCCCTTTTATCCTCCCAACTTCAGGCTGAGAGAGAGTAACCAGCCCAAGGTCACCCAGCGAGCTTCCATAGGTGGAGGAGTGATTTGAACCTGACTCTCCCAGTCTTATCCTAGTCTACTTTAAACGGTACACCCACACTGGCTTTCTTTTGCATTAGCAACATATCCCAAGACTGGACAGTGAAAAAGGGTTCTGGGATTCAACCTTACTGGTGCTATATGCTTACACATACACAACTCCCCCCCTCTCCCCCCCCCTCTCTCTCACACACACACACACACATCAATACACCCCTGTTTCTCACGCCAGTCACTGAGGCCAATGAGGCTTGTCTGCTTCCTAGCTTCTAGGCTCATTCTGTGGGAGAGTTGCCAGGTGGGCCTGGAGTTCCCCTGGAATTACCACTGACCTCCAGGCCAAAGAGAGATCCATTCCCCTGGAGAAAATGCTTGCTTTGGACCATAAGAACATAAGAAGAGCCCTGCTGGATCAGACCAGTGGTCCATCCAGTCCAGCGTCCTGTCTCACACGGTGGCCAACCAAGAGGGGAGGCAGTTTAAACTACCTTCCCTTGGCTTGCGCGGGCACCTCGTGGCTGCAGGGAGCCCAGGCAAGCAGGCCCTTGGACAGGCCAGGGAAGGCATAGGGAGGCATTTAAATGCCTCCCCGATCCTTCCAGGGGCCCCCCTGGCCTGCCCACCTCAGAGTCGCGAGGGGGGTGTGTCGCTCTCCAGGCCTTCCCTCTGTAGCCACGCACGCAAAGGTTTTGGCTGTAGTGGATGTGGCCAACTCTGAAGCCAGCCGGAACTCTGTTCCTGCGCGTTCCTGCCCAAAAATAGCCCTTCGAATAGTCCATCTAGTCCAGCATCCTGTCTCATACCGTGGCCAACCAGAGCACAGAATCTAATATGGGAGAACAGGGTTTGATTCCCTACTCCTCCAACTGCAGCTGCTGGTGTGACCTTGGGTCGGTTACAAGTTATCTCAGAGCTGTTCTGAAAAGAGCAGTTCTCAAAAGAGCTCTCTCAGCCCTGCCTACCTTGGGGGGGGGGCTGTTGCGGGGAGGGGAACAGAAAAGGATTATTAGCCGCTCTGAGTCTCCTTCGGGTAGTGAAGGGTGGGGTATAAATGCAATCTCTTCTCCTCCTCTTCTTCTTCCCCTGTAGGGCCAACAACAGGGCACAGAGGCCGAGGCCTTCCCCTAATATTGCCTCCTGGCTCTGGGATTCAGAGGATTAGTGCCTCTGAACGTGGAGGCTCCCCTCAGCAACCATGGCTAGTTGCCACTGATAGACTTATCCTCCATGGATCTATCTAATCCCCTTTTAAAGCTGCTTATTCCTGTGGGCATCACTCCACCCTCCGGCAGCGAATTCCACATTTTATTCACTCTCTGTCTCAAGTAGTATTATTCTCAATTCCTCTCCTATTAATCCCTAACACTGAGTTTGCAAAGAAGGTGGTCTCCAGGACATCATACCCCACTGGCATTAGAACTCCCCTCCCCAAATCTCCAGGAATCCCCATACCCAGAGCTGGCAACTCCATTCCCTGGATCAATGGAGGTCAGCCGGGCTGCAGGGACCTTGCAGTCGTATCGACAGGGGGCTGGACAGCTCTGCTACTCTTACACGGCATGGAAGATTCAAGATCGGCAGAGCAAGCATGAGAGAATTCCCAGCCAGCCTGGTCCCCTTGCAGATTAGAGGGGCTTCTGAGGGTGGGGCCTTCTCTAAAATCCTGCTAGCATTATGCTTGGCGGGGTGAGCCCCCGGGAGCCCTCAGCCCAGACACGTTGGGACACCGTGTTGGGAAAACTGGAGAATGAAAGCTATGCAGCTGAGCTCCCCTCCTCTGTTTTCCCCCAGACCCAACCGGGAAGGAGAGCTAGAGAAGGCCCCACATCACCCACGGCTGGGTAGTCCCGAAGCAAAGTGCTGCGTCGGGGGAGGAGACCTCTGGGCTGTGGCTCCTCCTCCCCACCCCTCCCCACCTCTCAAACTTTGAATACTCCTCTCAATCAGTGCTTCTTGGCGCCGGCGCCGTTTCTGATATTGCCCCAACGGAACGTTTTTTAATGTGCACTTTGGAGTCCTGTGGCTTGGAGCACCTCCAGCCCAGCAAGTTGGTTCCCTTCCGTTTCTAACCACAAGGAGTCCCACTCTGGCCTCGGGGCTTCCCTAGCCTAGGCTCTGCCAGTGGGCTTGAGGCCCAAGAACATGGCGCACCATGTTGCATGCGCCGCGGGGGTGGGGATGCCAGAGAAAGGGTCCAAAGGGAGAAGGCCACAGTATGGGCAGAGACTCCTAGCATGGACATTTCTTTACGACCGAGCCGGCTCCTGTGTCTTTAAAAGCAGGCCCGCATAAACACTCCCACCATGAAACTTGGAGTGTGATTAGGGTTCCCAAGTGCCTGGCAGTGGCTGGAGATCTCCCGGGAGTACAACTGATCTCCAGGTGACAGATCAGTTTGGGACTGTTCAGTTCAGAAAATAGATGACTAGGGGGGGGGGACAGGATAGAGGTTTATAGAATTATGCACAGGATGGAGAGAATGGACAAAGATACATTTTCCTCCCCTTCTGAGAATACTAGAACTTGGGGGCACGCAATGAAGCTGATGGGCAGTAGGTTCAGGATGGACAAAAATAAATACTACTCCCTTGTCCCCCTACCGTTTCCTTAGGCTCTTCTCTTTCAGCTCACTGCATCCTCCAGCAGCCACTCTGACTCCCGTCTCCCTGTCCTGAAGCTCAGCTGACCTCTTGTGACATCATAATAAAGGTCAGCTTCACTGTGACATCAGCACTGCCCAGCCAATCACTGAAAGAGGTTTTTTTCCCCTCACCACTGTCTGATGGGAAGTAGGTTCAGGACTGACAGAAGGAAATACTACTTTACACAGAGAGTGATTAAAATGTGGCATTTGCCGGCAGAGGATGTAGTGATGGTCACAGAGGATGTAGTGACGGCCGCAGGAATAGACAGCTTTAAAGGACGATGAGATAGATTCATGGAGGATAGATAAATCTTTCAGTGGCTACTAGCCACAGTGACTGAGGGGAACGTCCACATTCAGAGGCACTAAACCCCTGAATCCCAGAGCCAGGAGGCAACATCAGGGGAAGGCCTCGGCCTCTATGCCCTGTTGTCAGCTGTCCAGAAGAACTGGTTGGCCACTGCGTAAAACAGGATGCTGTACGAGAGAGACTATTGGTCTGGTCCAGCAGGGCTTTCCCTATATTCTTATGAGATCAGTTCTCCTGGAGAAAATGGCTACTTCGGAAGGTAGATGCTATGGCATCAT